TTATTGTTGCGTTTTCAAATTCCTCCGGCGTGGTATGGACTGAAAACATTTGATGCGTTTTCAGAGTGAAACCTCCGTTTTCAAATTCCTTGACGTAATGTCGACGGGGGCTTAGACACAGCTACTGATTGGCTAATTGCGTATTTGGGTCTGCCGAATGAAAGAATCCCATGATTTCCTACTAAAAGCGGGCGCTACTGACCCGAAAACAACCTGGACATGAGAAGGAAAATATAGTGTGGGCGAGGGAAGAACCTACCCATAATTGTCACAACATCTGCCAACATGTGGCCAGTAGCCAATAAATTCATACCAGCCTGGTGAGAAAACAAGGTACACATGGTCACTTAGGGAATCTGTACCCTGTTTTTATTTTAACCTTGGAACAGATTACGATAGAGAAGAAAGGAAAACACTTTAAAAGAAGTTGACAGGTTCTTTAAAAATGTACCCTGCTAGGACAACCACTCAAACTGTCTGATAAGGTAAGTAGCAGAAGAAAAGAGAAAATGTTTTTAAAGCATTGTTTCGTTACGATAATAAAATACACCAGTTGGAAGGACTCAGAATCAAATTATATCTTTGTAAGATGAATGTGGTGTTCCATTTTATCATTGTTAAAAATTTGCACTGTTGAGGCTAGCGATCAAGCGACCATCACAAGGTTTCTCATTGTGCCTGGCTGCCAGCAATACAGAAATTTGTGGGTTAGCGAGTCAAAAAGTTATTGTTTAGTCATATTGTAGTTCGAATCAATGAGAGAGGGTTGTTCAAAATTCCTTAATAAGTAAGACTCCATAGTTTGAACTAACATGAAGATATCTCACCAGGTGCGCAAATCCAGGAGCTTTAATCTTACAGCGGTAAGGTTTGTTGGTGCCATCCGCCACCAAATAAACACCAAACTCACCCTGACAACATTGAGAAATCAATCAGTTTTGTTAATGCGTGCATTCAAGAAGTAACTAATTAATGAGATTAATCAAATTTGAGGATCTAACTGTGCAATAAAGGACAGAAAATGTGACGTCTTAATGTTTCGTTTCACATGGATGTTCATACCTTCGGAGCTTCAATTGCTGTGTAAGTTTCACCCGGGGGAACTTGGTAACCTTCTGTGAAGAGCTTGAAGTGGTGGATAAGAGCTTCCATGGACTCCTGCAGAGGTCAATTAACAGCACCATCACATCTGGAGGAAATTATTACATTCATTTTGATCGAAGTTACAAACCTTCGGAATGCGTTCAAGAAATGGCTTATTTTACAGGACAAAGTGTTAGAGTATTCAAGGTTAGCAATATAAGACAAAACAAGAAGGTTAGGGTAGAATATGACAGGGTAGAGTAGAAGTCGGAAGTGTGGCAGTTCTCCTTAGCTTGTAATTCTATTTGCCATCATAGTGCAGCATCTGCTATTGTTTTGGTGATAAGGGCATTGTTTCTGTTGTTTGTTCTATTGTTCTCAAAGGGTATCGAGCCATTCAAGGGGGGGTGGGGGGATTGTGCACCCCCTGCACCCACCCCTAGACCTGCCCCTGTACCTGACCCGTAGAAGTTGGGTAAGGTCACATTCACATGAAGGACAAAGAATGTACCAAAACCCATTATTCACGTCTGCTAAAACCTGATTGAAGAAGTAGACGTGACCTCCTCTTAAACATCTAAACATCCATGTGACTAAACATTACCTTCATTTCAGACCTCTTTGGTGGTGAGATTTTGGCATCATCAACTTTTATTTCACCTGCAGGCATCCAGTTTAAACACTGAAGAGGGAAAAACCAGCAGATAAGTAAAATATATTTGATTATAAAGAGATACTTGTTGACTGATCAGGAGTTTTCCTGTGCTTCATGTAAGCTACATGTATTGGCTTCAAGTTTTGATTGGTTCATTTTTTTTGTGGTACTCAACTGAAAACTGCTATATGCATAAGGATAAAAATAATTTCGTTCAGTCAGTGTCCCGGCTGGTTCCAAAGGTCTGCATGGTCATAACATTGAACATTGAGGGCAGGGGTTGTGGGTTGGGGGTTGGGGGTAGGGTGGCAGGCAGTGGTATCTTTGCTCCACTATATCTGTTTAGAAATAAAAGTATTATTATTACAAACCTGATGTATAATTCTTAAACTCTGCCGCATTTCCTCAACTCTGATTAAATACCTGAGGGGTTAAAAAGACATAAAAAAAAAAATCAACAACAGCACACAACCGAATTCAGTTTGTCATGAGCATCTGGGACTTCAAAGAAAATATTGTCAGAAAAAGACAGGATCCCAGAAGGAACTGGTAAATACAACTTTTTATTCAGTATTGCTGTACACACCTGTCATAACAGTCTCCATTCTTGCCAACAGGAACATCAAAATCCACTTTATCATATGCATCATATGGCTGTGATTTACGAAGATCCCACTTGATTCCAGAACCACGTAACAAGACTCCACTAGGTGTGAAAACAAAAACGTTAATAAATAACTATTTTGGTTCAACTGGAAATTATCATGAGCATCACTTTGTCAAAAATAAAATAACATAACATAACAACACAGTATGTTACAATGTCCAGATTGTTCTGTAATGTACACCTTATAGTTGGCCCCATGCTGGAGCTGTTTGTTGGGTAAAGTTGCATGCAATAGCAGATTTGCACGTTGTCGTCATTTGACTACAACTACTAGAATTCCTTTCG